GTGCTTCTCAACACGTTACCAGATACCTGACCACAGAAAGACAAAGAAACAAAAAATAGGAAAATTGCAATGAAAGAGATGATCGTCATTATTTCTAAGTGAAATCATAGATATAATAACAAAGAGAATCAGCATGAAACCATTGGAAGCAATGCAAGAGTTCAGCTAGATTGCCAGCTATAAGAACATATAAAAATCAATCGCTTTCTGCTATATTGGGAGTTACTAATTATAAACTAGGACAATAATAAGATGCCATTTATAATAGTGACATAAACTAAAAGCTATCTAGGAATAAATCTAAGATAGAATGCATAAAACATATAAGGGAAATTTAAAACTCTATTACAAGAGTTTTATTATGGTACTAAAGAACATAAATGCAGCATTCATAAATGGCTTCATTGAATATTGTGAGATGTCACATTCCCTCTTAAATTCAGTCTGATCAACATCTAAGAAAGAATATTTTTTTGAAAGGGGTGGAGTTGAGGCTAAAATTTGTATGAGATAATAAATACAGAAAGAGGATCTCCGTTTTCTTAAGACATTAACAGTATACAGCAGAAGTTGGCAAATTCGACCAATAAACCAAATCTGGGCTGCCATCTGTTTTTTCAAATAACATTTTACTGATACACAGCCACACCTACTCATGCTGCTTTCATGCTGCCATGGCAAAGTTGAGTGATTGTAACAGACACTGTGTGGCCTGCTGTGTCTGGTCCTTTACACACACACAAAAGTGTGACCTCTGTTCTATAGCATCTGGCTCTGAAGCAAAATAGACAGGAGTCTAGACTTATTCCTGTGTATATGTGGGAACTTAGTGTAATCATTCCCAGGAATTGGAACTAGGACAATTGGCTGACAAAAAGAGAAAAATGAATCTGTTTCTGTACTTCATACTATAAACAAAGCTCCAAGTGGAGTAAACAGTTAAATGTTAAGAATGAGAATATAAAGTTGATAGAAGAAAATATAGGAATATATATATTTGCAACCTTGTAAAGAGGGATTTGTTCTGTGAGATTTGCAGAGCGCAAACTATAAAAAGAAAATTGATGGATTTGGAATACATCAAAATGAATGATTTCTGTTCAATGGAGGGAACAATAGAGAAATTAACAGATGGTGAAAATATAATTGTAGTATTTAATAGACCATGATCAATATTTAGAACATACAAGGGACTCTAGAAAATTATAAAATGTAAGGGAGGAGAGCAATATAAAAGAAGACAAAGTATAGGGGGAATTGGCAATTCATAGAAGGAGAAACATGCATATACACACATATCGCTGTTAGAGACAAGTGAAGTAAAAGGAAGAGACAGCGTTTTACCATTTAATAATTAAAAGCTTGGAAAGCAGGAAGTACCCTAGCAAGTGGTGGTAAGGATGTAGGAAATTAGAAATCCTCATGTATTGCTGCTGGGCAGGCATGCAAGCCAGTGCATGTATTTTAGAAAATCTAAGTAAGTATATACGACCTGAATCCTACCATGGGGATGCTAGGATAGGAATCCAGGGAAACATGTATGAGAATGGTAGTCACAATGTAGCTTGTAAAAGGTTGTAATCAAGCTAGCTGTGTAGTACTAGAGGAATGGACAGGGAATACTACAGTGAATGCAGTGAGAAGGAGTTGTTTATAGGAACATGGGTGAGTTTCTAAAACAATGTTGAGAGAATACAGAAGAATCAGATTTAAAACCTGCAATTTATATACAAATTTTAAAACCATGTATAAGGGCCCTATATATTTTTGACAAGTAAAATGTATGTATACAAACATGTAAAGAGGATTCTAAATAATACATTAATTGTGAAAAAGTGAATTCCTGTGGTGGGAAAGGAAGGAATGGAACTAGACATAGAGGAAAAGAAGGAAAATAAGAAAAGTCAAAACAAAAAGAAGAGGCTTTCATGGGCTCGTGATAACAGCAGCTCATCAACTAGAGCCTGTGCTAAGTCAACTCTGTCCCATAATCCTGAAAGGAAAACAAATTTCAGGGACATGACTTCTTCCTGGAATGCTAGATCCAGGTGCTCAGACAGTGTTATCAGGTATGGATCTCTATGTCTTCGGTGTCTTTGCCTCGGTGTTGGCTTTCATAGCAAGCCAACTCTTTTTAGGAAAACTCACAGCTGTTTCAGGTTCATAGTCTACCAGCTTGACAACTCAGCTGAAAGAAAGTGGCCTTGTTACTATCAGCAGTGTTCCTTGGAAGAATGTCCTTTGATTGGATCATTTGGGGTCCTGCGTCCACTTCCAAACCAATCGTATGTCAAAGGACTGTGGGTGCTGGAGTTACTTTCCCATTCCCCGAACCCAGTAGTAGGAATAGTCCCACATACATAATATGGTGGGGTGTTATAAAAAGCAAAATCAAAGTGGTGTGGCTAAGACTACAGGAAGTAGATTCGGGGGAGGGAAATAACCACAGGTCACTTGAATCAATACTATTTGTAGAATGGTTGCTGTGGTTTGCTGTGTTTATTCTAGAAAAGGAAAAATGAAGAATAGCTAACCCCAAATATCTGAGGCACTGTCACTTGCATGATACTCATTTTATATGATCCCAAATAATAAAGCCATGAAAACCAGATAGACTTGGTGTGAAGAGCAACTATGTTATTTGTAGAGTTGACTTTCTTAGGAGGAATGGGTAGTGAACTTCCCATCACTGGATGTATCCAAGCATATATGCTAGCTAGCCATTTGGCAGGAATTCTGTAGGAAAGGGCCCAAGGATTAAGAGGATAGTTGACTTTGATCAGTGGTTCTGAATCACTTGGACAGCTGTGGAAGTCTTGATTGCTGGGACCAAAGTTTCTGGTTCAGTTGGTCTGGGGTGGGGCCTCAAAACTTGCATTTCTAATAAGTTCCCAACTGATGCTGATGCTATTGTCAAGGGACCTCACCTTGAGAACTGTTGGGCTAGATGATTTTCAACATCTTTACTGACCCTTCAGTTTTAATGAGCACTCATTGTAAATGTTCTAAGAACCAGTATCTGTATCACTGGGGCAAACCTTCCCGTCTTATTTCTTTAGTACCTGAACTGTGTAAAGCTCTGGCTATGGGGTGCTTCCATAGTAAACGACATTTGCACAGCTCTATGTTTTGTGTGTCATTAAGAATATTAGACTCATTAAACAATCATGCATTATTCATGTGCTTTATAAAATAGTCTAAGGAAAAAAATATACTCAACAGGTTTTTCTTCTGCGTTCACACAAAAATCAACAGTGAATACTACTATGACCAATTACGTGGGTTTTTTTTCTGCCAACACACCAAGCGTTGGACTCCAGCTGGATGTCCTTTGATTCAGTTCAGTAGAATTTGGATGTTATTTACCTGGAGATAGCCTCAGATCCCACAGGTTGAGGGCTCAGTGCCAGGAGACTGGCCCCTGATTTTCAGACACCAGTCGCAAGTCGGGGTCTCCGGAACTTACAACTGACTATAAATCAGGGACCCCATGGTCCTTCCTTTGAGTTCAATCAATGTGCAAGAGCAGCTCAAAGAATTCAGGGAAATACTTAAGTTTACCAGTTTATTACAGCAAACATTACAAAGGATACTGATGAAAAGATGCATAAGGTGAGGTGTGGGGAAAGGGGCGTGGAGCTTCCATGCTCTCCTAGGGTGAGTCATCTTCCAGGAACCTCCGTGCGTTTGGCTATCCAGAAGTTCCCTAAACTTGTTCTTTTGGGTTTTTACAGAAGCTTCATTATGTAAGCGTGACTTATTAAACCACTGACCATTGGTGATCAATTTGACCTTCAGCCCCTCTGTCCTCCTGGGAGATTGAGGAGTGGGGCTGAAAGTTCCAGCCTTGTTATCCTGCCTTGGTCCTCCTTGTGACCAGCCCCATTCTGAAGCAACCTAGACCCTTAGAGGCTGCCAGCCACCAGTCAATCATTAGCATACGAAAAGTCATCACTTTGGGGTTTCTACAGATTTTAGAAGTTGCATGCCAGGAAATGGGGTTGAAAGACAAATATATATTGTATAGTATCACAAAGAGCCCACTATTTTCTAATTTCATCCTTTTTATATTCCTTTCTCTGTTTTTCCATAGATTGATCCATGTTCATCAGTTTAGTACTAGGGCTGGTGCTTCCTAGTCATTCACAAAGTAACTTTGTCACGTGTTGGCATTTATCTGATTGAAAAGTCATTCCTCAGTGCTAGATGGATTTGGCTTGTCTTAGCTTGCCATGTGCCAAATTCCTTTCAGCCTCCATCGTCTGCCCACCCCCTCCCCCCAACCCATGGCTTTCCCTCAAAAGGAGGACGCAGAACATTTCAGGTACCTTGCGGCTTTGTGGTTCTGTCACAGTCAGGAATTGTTCCAGTTTTGAACTGCCATTTTGGTTCTTCCTTCTTTTTTTAAGAATTTTTTCTCCTGAATTTTGGAGTTTTTACTGGAATAGTTCTCTCGGAGTGTTCTTATTTTTGTAATTGTAGGCGAGGTCAGACAGTGTTTGTACTTGTTCTAAATTGCTGTTATATGAATAAAAATAAAACCATTTGAGAGAAGCATTTAAGAATTATAAGATTTATAATTAATAATGAAAATTTTTAGCTTAGCAGAGATGACAAAATAGATGGGTAAAAATAAGTATCTGACAAATAGGACCTTGTGGATTTGAGTTAAGGTAGCACTGTGAAGTGCTGAGGGAGTAAAGGGGAAAGGCTGTTTTATTGTCCATGTGCAAACTTCTGCTTGAAAATTACTAACTCGAATCAAGGATTAGATTAGAGAGAATAGTCCACTCTACTGGTAGGTAGAGTAGGAGTATTCTAGGAAGACTTGCCTAGAATGCATCATGGTGAGCGTTCAATAAGGAACAATTTGAGTGGCATCCTCTCTGCAACTACGAATATGTAGTAATGAAATGTGCTTCTCTAAGGTGGTATATGAACTGAGTTTCTCATTTTAATTTTATAACTGTCCATTGTTTTTTTCTTCTGGACTTCAACAGTTGACGAAATGTCATTCAGATTCGGCCAACATCTCATCAAGCCTTCTGTGGTGTTTCTCAAGACGGAACTGTCCTTCGCTCTTGTTAATAGGAAACCTGTGGTACCAGGACGTATCCTTTTTTGCTTTTTGGAGAGAAAAAGTAAAAATCCTCTGAGCCTAACCAGCCAAATGAATATAAATACAAGATTGGCCTAAAAGGTAAGTAAAGAATCCATCTCCCTCCCACTTTGGAGACACCAGGTAAGATGTTACTCACATTTATCCTGAATCCAGTTGGTGGCACCAGTAATATGCTTGATCAATGTTGCAGAACTTCTGAAGAGAGTTGCTTAGCAACCGTGGCTTTGGCGGTGAATTTTTGCTTGACCTTTTCACTACCATAGCTGAGTAAATAAATAGGTGCTTCTAAAATGGGCCCAATGAATATCACGGGCACTTGGTTTTCAGCTTGTCTGTTGTGAATTTTAATAGATTGGGTGGTGCGTTTGTGATGTGGAAGTAAGATAGGTGAGGATTTGAGACCGACTTTGTTGCTTTACCTCTTGGAGATCATTCAAGTTGTGCATTTTAATTAAATTTATACATATAAACTTACTTTTTAAATAAAATATTGGAACCTGAAATAGCATTTTCTTTTGGGAAAAATACCAGCTTGTAGATCTTTGTCCGGTGTAATTGGTGGTAGAGCTGTTTTATTTCCCTGTAACTCTTGAATTGTAGTCTTTCCTCCTATAGACTTCAGCAGGAGCTTTATTCGTTTGCAGTGGGAATAACAAGTATTGGTGAAATGCTTGGGAAGTTATTTTTATGTTGTTGAAAGTATCACCCCTGATTGTTTGCATATGAATTTTGTACTGACTCTTCAGGATTTTTTTTTTCTTTCCCCCTTAAGTTAGTTTACTATGCAGAAGGCAACGGAATAAAATTTGATATTTTCAGATAATAAGTATTTTCCACACTGAGACATGATTTTGCTTTAAAATGAATTTCTTAGTAGTTCTGAATGTACAAATATGCCAAGAGGTTTTTCAGAGTAAGCTACATTTTTTTGTAGTGAAAATGTTGAGAGTGCTTGAGAACTTTATAAATAATCTTCCTTCCTAGCCATATAACTATTGTATGCTGAAAAAAAATACGAATAAGAAAAACATGCACCAAAAGATAATTGTGATTGTGTTATAGACTCCCAAATTTCTGGAATGAAAATTCTATACAAATAAATTGTAAGTTTTTCTTAATATTTAAAAATCTTCTTTTAAATGTATGAAATGAGTCTAAAAGGAAACTGTTTTCTTCTGTTTATTGAAAAAAAGTGCTGGAATGATTTAGAAAGTCCCTAGAAGACAGAACAATTTAAGTTTAATGCTAATTTTGTATTGAATTCTTTTAAAAGACTGGAATTTCTTGGAATAACAGAAACATTTTATTTTGCTGTAAGTTTGTGGTGGGCTTTTTCCTTTGGGAATTTTTTTTTTTTTTAAAGCAAAATATCTGTAAATTCAGTTGTCAAAAGAATATGGTTTAAATACCATCTCTTTCTGGGTGCCAGCCTTAATTGACTTTGAGAAAAGAATTAAAGGGATCTGGGATGAAAATGTGATTTTAGACAAACAGATCTTAATTCCCTGGACTATGAAAATGAGAGGTCATAGAAATGGACCACTTTTTTTCTTTTTCTTTTGAGGCAGGGTCTCGCTCTGTAGCCCAGGCTAGATTGCAGTGGCACGATCTTGGCTCAGTAAAACCTCTGCCTCCCAAGTTCGAGTGATTCTCATGCCACAGCCATCCAAGTAGCTGGGACTACAGGCGGGCACTACCACACTGGGCTAATTTTTGTATATTTAGTAGAGACAGGGTTTCGCCACGTCGGCCCCTTTTGAAGATGGTTAATAATGGAATGAACTTTGCTTTGTAATTTTTAAACTCATATCTTGAGAGTAACTTGATATTTCAGACTTTTAACAAACTTGGAAAATGTGATGTGTAAAACCAGGGCATATATAAGTTTGGACTCAATAATTACACGGAAATACCTGTGTCTAGGAAAATATCCGTAGTGAATAGTGAACAAGTAGTGAATGACAACTAGTTTCTTTATGGATGGCAGTGGTGTTGCCATCTGGGAAATGAACCCTGATCAGTTACTATATATCTGAGCAAAGACCAAGGGCTTGGAGAATATTTTATTAAAATTAACAAACTTCAGTTTGTTTGGAAGATAGTAAGAAGAATCCAACCCTTTCTGATTATGAGAATAGTGAGAACCAGAGCATTTTAAAAATCGGTATATTCTGTAAGGCTAATTCACATCTGCAGTGTTTAAAACAGTCTCTGGGCCACTAGATAATGTATTCTATGTGATGATTTTGTAACTTTTTATTTTACTTTACCTTTATAAACTCTGCCATGTTACAGCTGGGAGATGCATCTTAATGAGGCACTCATTTGCTTGCAGAAAACTGTAGTCTTTTGTCCTGAGATTTGAGGATGGAAGACATGGTTAGTTCTGTCCGCTGACATTTCCTAGACGGTGAGATGTCTGGCGTGGGCTTTTGTCATCCTCCAGTGTTCTATCCTGCCTGCCCTAGTGTAGCCCTTAGGTGTGGTTCATCTCCCTGCCTCTGGACTTTTCCAACCCAGCCTATAACTCACTCTAAACCACAGCCCTAACCATACCATTCTTCTCTTCCCTTGTTAATAAACCAATAATGAAGATCTGATTTTCGAGGATAAAATCCAAACTCCTTAGAATAGATTTTAAGGATCTTCATTGTACTGGGTCATTCTCCCCTCTTTCCAGCTATTTCCTGAATATGTGTTGTACCCTTCCTTGACCATACTTCACTTCCTGCCTCTTCGCCTCAACTGGAAATGCTCCCCATCCTTTTCATTTCAACTGAAATGCTTTGGTAACTGTCCCACCCTCTCAGGGAAAACAACAACAACAGAAAAGAAACAATCTGTCCTCTTTGTGAGTGACACTCACTTCCTTACTCACATGTTGATTGATTCAGTACTTTATTATTGAGTTCATACTCTGTTCCAGGTACCATGACCATACAGCCCAGTCTGCCTCATATCCAAAGTATGTGCATCCCTGTTTCTCTATGCACTGGCTTTCCTTCCTATGGGCAGGACCTGCTCTTGCACATCTCTTTTTTCTTAGCACCCAAATGTACTATGTTGACTGAATCTAAAGTGAAACTGGAAACATCAGGAGCATATGCGTTGTTCCAGGTAACAGAATGGGGAAACTCACTTTGGGTGTGCCAAAATCCCACCTCTTCCCGATTTCTATGCACAAAGCCAAGTCTCGTCACCACTTTTTTCCAGATGTTTTAGAATCATGTCCAAGCTATAGTTTCCCAGCTCTCCCTTCATCCTTTCTCTGTTACAATTCTGTTTACAAGTGTGTGAGTGTACAGAGTTAAGTCTAAAAGCGGTGAATGAATTGATGGCAGATGGGAAAAGATTCTTTGCCATTTCTTAACATGTTAATTTGTGAATGGACCAATCTGTGTTTTAAGGGCAGTGTATTGGCATTTTCATGTAAAATGGAACGTTTTCTTTGTATGTTTGATGAATTCTTCTTAAAAATGGTATTCAGGTGCCCTTTGGGGAGTGTGCCATTCATGAGAGGCTTGTAAATGTCATCTTTGAACTTGTGTCTCTTCTAACATTTTGCTGCCCCCACCCCAACACTTATTTCTTATGACTCTGCTCACTGACTTTTTCATAGCTTTCAGAGGAAGAAAAAGAACTGTCAAATCAGGGGCCAAAGATAGTCTTTTGAAGCAGGATGATTTGCTTCGTTCTTGAAACAGCTACTTCAGTCCCTCCTTGTCCCCACCTGAAGTAAACACTTATGGTCCTTGCCAACACTGTTTAAAGCCTATTGAATACGCTTTGGCTTCTGTGGTGCGGCACTTAGAAAAATATGTCAGAATGCCTTTAATCCATTAATTTCTTGTTACTGGAAACTGCTTTTCAGAATTTCTTGGTGATAGAATCATTTTGAAGAGTACACATTCAGAATTCAGCAGCAAACATATTATTCATGTGTCTCAGTGCAGCCCAGCTATTGTTCATGGCTTACATAAATTTGAACCATTATGGTTAATACTTCTCCTTACCCCACTCCCTTTGCTTTGTGCTGTGTCTCTCTCTCTTCTTGAATTGAGCATGAAAATGAATTTAAACATGAGTGGTATCCATTTGAGGACTGGGGCTTTTATTGTAAATAAAATTACTCATTTGTTATGTTCTGTTGTTTTCAGCAGAGACTGTATTGATCTCTGCATTGCTATTCTGAATGGCATAAGGAGCTACAACACGAGGGAGACACAGCAACATTTGTGGATGGATTGAACAGGGTGTGTAATGACAGAAACCTTGCCCAGTGGTCATACTACATTTTACAAATCATTCATCAACAGTTTATTGAATCAGTTATTAAAAAGAGCAGATTTTTCCAAACAAGACCATCACACACAGAATGTTACAACGTCCAAACAACATGAGGATGATTCATGGAGGGACAGCCTTACAAAGTGTATTCGTCAGAGAATTAGACTAGGTAACTTAAAGGACGCTTTCTGCTGACACATTAGAAATAAAAGTTTGCTACAATGCACACTGCGCTCTAAGATCCAACTTCGAAAGGTAAAAAAGAAAACTCTGACCAATGTATTTTAATACGGAATATTAACTTTCCAAAGAGCAATGTTAAGTTTCCCCAATTTTCAGACCGTTACCATGTTGATCGCTCCTGAAATAAGTAGAAAAATAATAAAAATAGCTTCATTACTTAACAGTGATTCTTACAGAATAGATGCTATAGATAAAAGTGCCCTTTTAGTCCTTCCATAAAAATCAGAAATATTTGTCATTTCCTCAGTAGGTTGTAATCTTGTGAATTCATTTAATTGTTCAGGAAACTGCAGTTATTAGTGATCTTTCATTTCTCTAAAGAGTTTCTTTTTAAACCTTCCTGTATGAGTAAAATGAGCACAAGCACTATTTTAATATCTTTATTGCTAAAGATAGGTTTTTGCTCTTAAAATTGCCCTCAGCACATGTCTCGTCTTTGCTCTGTGCGTGCTTGTTATA